AGGAAGGAAGGAAGGAAGGAAGGAAGGAAGGAAGGAAGGAAGGAAGGAAGGAAGGTGATTCCCCATTGATAACTCATAGAAGTCTTACCCCAACTTGGATTCTGGCGGCGAAGGAAATAGCTGTGATATTACCATGTGGGCATCTTTTAGAACGTGCACATATGTGGTGCAGGAGATCCTTTGGTCTTGTTGTGGGTTTGACTGACACATGTCCTTCACAAGGTCCATGCAGAGATAATGAGGACACTATGACACTATTTGAGCTCCTGCTCTGGATGGGGTATGCATTTTGCCTTCCGTAGGAACGCTTGTCTTATCAATGTTCAGATAGTGCAGAAATCAGGGACTTCCAACTGTGAAATAACTTTTTGCCCAATCTTGTCCTTCAGCAACGACCTGGGAAGAATGAAATGGTTCAAGAGAATTGACTGGTTCTGTAAGGAGCCCAGAAAAATCAAGAAAGTAAGTGAAATGAATCCATTTCGTCTCATGTTAAGGCACCAGGCTAGAAAGCAAGAGACAATGAATTCTAGTCCAGTTTAGGCATGAAAGCTGGCTGGAGGAATTTGGGCCAATCACTAGGAGACAGTGAGTTCTAGTTCTGCCTTACTCCTGAAAGCTGGCTGGGTGACTTTGGACCAACCACTAGGAGACAGTAAGTTCTAGTCCCACCTTAAACATGAAAGCTGGCTGGGTGAATTTGGACCAACCACTAGGAGACAATGAGTTCTAGTTCTGCCTTAATCATGAAAGCTGGCTTTGGACCAGGAGATGATGAGATCTAGTCCCACCTTAAGCATGAAAGGCAGCTGGGAGGGCCACCTCACAGGGTTGTTGTTGTGGGGAAAACAGGAGGAGGAAGGTGTGTTGGGTATGTTCTCTACCTTGAGTTGTTTGTAAAAATAATAATGACAGGATATAAACAAATAAACAAAGAAAGAGAAGATTGGATGAAATCTCATCCCGGAGTTCCGGATAATGCTAATCCTACCCAAACGTGTCTCCAAAGTGAAGCAGAATTGCATTTCAGAGCTATTCTTCCACAGGCGACAATCTTTAGTTACTGGTGCTTCTTTATTCATTGATGGTAGCTTTCATCTCTTTCTGCCTCCCTTAATTAGAATCACGACATCATTGGGGTCAGCCGTACTAATGAGAGGGCTTTTCTTACCTCTCTCCACAAACAGGCCCTGAAATAACAGAATAACAGAAGACTTGGGGGCCTTCTAGTCCAACTCCCCTGCCAAGCGGGAGACCCTACATCAGTAGACTTCCTACTAAGGCCTCTGAGATAGTTTTCTGTTTTGAAATATTAAAAGGAAACCAATGACTAGCGAATAATACATATTTTCTGGGGACAATTGGCGAGTCTCTCCCAAGACGAGGCCATCGGCACGAAGTATGAAACCTCCTGCCTTCTCTGCAGGAAAATGTCCAAATTAGAGACATGTTTTTGGAGTGACCTTATCGTTCGGGCCTCTTGGAGAGAGATTAAGATTCTGCTCGATCCGCAATTGGAAACCAAATGGCTCTAAGCTGCCGTTTGATATTCTCCACCTGAGGATTGTCAAAACAGATCATCTAGAATCACCCTGGCGACTCCGTAACCGTATCTCACCGGCTGGGGCCGTCGGTGATGTAATCCGGGAGAGCCATCCCTTAAATGGTTGAATTATTTAGGTTTTCCTCCTTTCGCTCAACAATAAGATAGCCCCTAAAGATTAAGGGAGGGTTAACCAGCTAGAAAACAGCTCTTAAGAATGGTTGGGAAAAGCCACAAGTGCCAGCATTGGAAGCCATTTTTTTTCTTGAGAGCTTCAAAGCTGCCACATTCAGTGCCTAGGAATTTGGGAGGGGGGGATTTCATAGAAGAATAGACACAACAACATTCCTTTCTCAGAGAGTCAAGGACAAGTTGCCCTGCACCTGGAGGGGAGTGACTGAAGGGATGTCTCCAGGTGGGGCGAAGGTTTGATTGGGCCATGTGATGGACTGATGGGTGCAGGGGGTGGATCTTTGATTTCTCTTTTGGGAAGGGAAAACACGGGACTCTCAGATTTGAGTTTTCCCAGATGTGCCAATAGGACAACTCTAATAAGATGGACCTTGGAGGAAATGTTGATCTGGGGAGTTTATTGATTTGGAGCTGACTAATTGGAATGCTGACAGCAAGTATTCAGCGGTGCACAATTGACACATCCATTCCAACACACTGTTGGCCACCAGCTGAAAATAATCGTTGCCCCACGCATGAAGTTTGTAGTAAGGTTGAAAGGAAGACGTGCTTAGAACAGCAGGACAGGCAAAAATAGTCCTCGGTTATGGGATATGTCTTTAACTCTTGGCCCCATTAGAGGCACAGACGAGAGGATAGTTTTGAAAGAAGAATAGATGCCTTCTTGAAGAGTCAACCACAGGCCCCAGCCTTGACGATTGAAAGAATTTATTTGCAAAATATGAGGACAGAGAACTCAAAAGTGTGTTTATGGTGTCCCAAGTGGCTTAGATTTTTTTTTTAATCTTTTAATAAAGCCATATGCAATGGGGGGTTGGTGTGTTACAAGGCAAACCTTCAATTTCTAGCATTCCCCACTGTTTTCAAGAATGCTTCATAGACACCACTTGAGTATTTCTAGCAATTGAAGCTGCTGGATAGCTACAGGGCAGCCAGTAGCAATAGCACTTAGATTTATATACCGCTTTATAGTGCCTGACAGCCCTCTCTAAGCAGTTTACAGAGTCAGCATTTTGCCCCTAACAATCTGGGTTCTCATTTTACCATCCTTGGAAGGACAGAAGGCTGAGTCAACCTTGGTCAGGATCGAACTCGTGGCAGTGGGCAGAGTCAGCTTGCAATACTGCTTTCTAACCACTGTGCCACCATGGGAGTTTCTTTTGGAGATGACTCCCTCAGTCAGGAGGGACTTTTTCCTGAGTCTGAGGACTAGAAGATGGGATGAAGGTGATTATCCAACATTGCTAGCCAGTAGGGGCCACTGAACTGGTGTTTAAACCCAACCATCAAATCCGATGGTTAAGGATCAAGTGCCAAAAGCTATGCACGCCATCAATATCTATTCTCATATCATTGTTTTCTTTTTTTCTGGTTTATTCTGTTGTTTATGTTTACGCTTCTTTTCATTTCTCCATTTTCATTGTTGTAAGCTGCCTAGAATAGCCGGCAAATAAATTGAACCAATGACAAATAGTCATTTTGTTATAGGACCTCTATCCTAGGTTATATGGTTATATGGTTTTCCTTTTTTGTTTTTTAAAGGAGAAGGGAACAGAAGCAAAATAGATGTGGAAAGCTTCCACATTCATTTTGCTTTTTTTAAAAAAAAAAAACAAACAAACATTATGTCATTACCATGCCTATGACTGGGACAATGCACTGTTGTTGTTGTTTTTATTGGTCCTATCTGGATTTTGAACATCTCCAGAGGATCAGGACTTAAAGTGAGACTTTGAATCATGTACAATTTCTTTCTTGCTATCAATCAGTCAGTCCAATGCATGTTGATATGACCCCCTAATTTAGGCCCTGCTTTAGATACAGATGTTCTGAGCTTCCAGGTTCTTTCCTGATTTATGACGGACCAGAGTTAAAGATCTAGCACAGACCTCCAACCCACCCAGCAGTGATATATTTAAAACTTTAAATGAATTTTGAAGCCAGACTCTCTCTCTCTCTCTCTCTCAAATTATGGCATGTTCATTCATCATTTGAACCAGCCTTTTTCAATCTCGGCAACTCTGCGTGGACTCCAATTTCCACGGTTGCCAAGCCAGCACGCTGCCCTGGGAAATTCTGGGAGTTGAAGTCCGCGCATCTTAAAAATGGCAAGGTTGAGAGTGATGAAGGTATTGTGAAGAGAAGGACCAGGGGAGACAGGAGAGCAGCCTTCCAATATTTGAGGGGCTGCCACAGAGAGGAGGAAGGGGGTCAAGCTATTCTCCAAGGCACCCTTGAAGGCCAGACAAGGAATAATGGATGGAAACTGATCAAGGAGAGATTCAACCAGGAAATGAGGAGAAATTTTCTGACAGTGAGAACAATCAACCCGTGAAACAAAAGTTGCCCTCGGAAGATGTGGGAGCTTCATCACTGGAGGCTTTCAAGAAGAGGCTGGACCGCCGTCTGTCAGAAACGGTGCTAGATCTCCTGCTTGGGTGGAGGGTGGGGGTGGACTAGATGACCCACAAGGTCCCTTCCAACTCTGTTAATCTGTTAAATCTGATGGATTGAAACTAAGCAAGGACAGGAGGAGTGTCACCATGGTATTTGCATCCGGCAAAGAAACAGGCTCAAAATCTGTGAATGGTGAAGTCACTTTATATGGATGAATGGACAATTCCACGGGTATGACTAGTAAAGGGTTTTGTGAACCTGGTTAGGTAAGGCAAAGATTTCTTATTTAACTGTTTTTCCAATATCATGTCATATACTAGGCTGGGAAGGAAGGCGGTCGCTTGGTTAACTCTTGATGCAATTTCTTAGAAAGCTCCCCTCACTGAGTCGTCTTAAATAGACCCTACCAACAAAAGGAAATATCCAATTTCTTTTCCTTTGGGCCCCGACTCTGTCCTGCTTTTTGATGTAGAAAGCCCTTTTAATTATGAATTTTACAACAATGGACAATAATAAAGGTCGAACAGTGCATTGGGAGTTAACACAGTTCCCAAATAGTAAGAAACAACTTGCTGGCCACTGTCAATGCTGTTTCACTGTATAAAATGTATAAATAAATAGTTGACTTGCAATAAGAAAGGATGTTGTACAATACAATTGGCTTGGTCTTCCCTTGAATCGCTTTAACACTTTGAAACCAGGACTACAAACTCTGGAAAAGAAAAGAAAAAAAGGAAAAGGGGAGGAAAAGGAAAGGAAAGATTATATTATTGTCTTCTCAAGTCCATAGGTAACTGGTTTCTAGATTATCGTGGATAGCAGATGCTAAAGAAAACAGTTTCTATCCATTTCAAGTCGCTGACTTGTTTTACTTATTAATGTATATCAATTTATTATATAACCTTAGGAATTAATTCCAGGGATTGTCGCCATATCAAGGTGGCAGACGTAACACTTACCTCACTACATCCTCGTGGCAACCACCCCTTCCCCTTCACCATCTGTCTCTGAGTCCTGTTTTTCCCCTCTATGATTTTTAAATTTGAAATAGCCTAATTTTCATATTTTAATTATTTATCTCTTGGTCTTTTTACAATCTGCAAGCCACCCAGACAGTCGCCTTATAAGGGAGATGGGCAGCATATAAATGTAAATAAATAAATAAAATAAAAAAATATTTGCCCTCCCTCTGGACAATTGATTGGTTGACTGATTAATTGATTTCACATGCCAGTGTAATTATTTAGGCTCTCAGCAGTTAGCTACAGAATTAACTCAACTTTGCTAAATAATTCTAAACCTGCGGATGTTCGCTGTCTACTGTCTGAGGGAATGATATTTGAGTAACATGGCCATCGTGCTGGACATTGGAGAGGGGGGATCAGTGAAGTCTTCCTTACCATCCACGCCAATTTTGCCATCTCCATCGGTGTCACCTGCTTTCAGAAACTCCAAAGTCTCCTTATCAGTCAGCACTCTGGCTTTCCCATCAAAATTCTGCATGAACATTCTAAGGAACAGATAAACAAGAGGTGACTAACAAGGTGACTGGAGTGCATGACAGTAGCAATAGCACTTAGACTTATATACCGCCTTCATAGTGCTTTACACAGCCCACTTTAAGCGGTTTACAGAGTTAGCCTCTTGCTCCCCAACAATCTGGGTCCTCATTTGACCCACCTCGGAAGGATGGAAGGCTGAGTCAACCTTGAGCTGGTCAGGATCAAATTCCTGGCAGGGGGCAGAGTTTGCCGGCAGTGCTGCATTCTAACCACTGTGCCCCCACAGCTTGCTTGCTTGCTTGCTTGCTTGCTTGCTTCCTTCCTTCCTTCCTTCCTTCCTTCCTTCCTTCCTTCCTTCCTTCCTTCCTTCCTTCCTTCCTTCCTTCCTTCTTTCCTTCCTTCCTTCGCAAGCA